CTCAGAATGGTTCTAAAGTTTAGGTGTGTGTACCTCTAAGTTTGTCCCTACTAGTAAGGAGTGTTTCCAGGTGTAATATTTGGGTTTTAAGTTCAGTTCTTTAGTCTGCCACAGCAGAATTCAGAATGCTGTAGAAGCAATATGCTCTGTCCTTAAGAAGAAAGCACACTGCTTTCAAGTGGGTTCTTGACTGTTCTAGCTAACCCCAAGGAAGGGCTTGGGTGGCCTCTAGAGGAGGAGGCATTTGGCTACACCCTAAAGTTTTTGGAGAAGGAAGGCTGGAGAATCTAAATACTTTCCTCTATGTCATATTTTATTACATTAGCTATGCATTTTTCCTTAGACCTTGCTTTTTCTAGCAGAAGGGTTGGATTATCCCTTTGTGGACCATGTTTTATTTGTAAATCTCAAGATAATGTTCCTATATACCTTGAAGTAGTAAGGCCAGAGTTACTGCTGCAGGGGAAATGGGAGTAGGGGGGAGGTGGATTTTCACATGCCCACACCTGGAATTTGTGCACGTTAAGAACACGGGCACTTCAAAGAGTCTGCCAGTGTCTTCAGTGCTATATGTAGCTGTATGAAAGAAAATTAAAAGAAAATTGAGCTAAAATCTGTCTTGCTGCAGAACTATAAGGCTTAAGCGGATTTTATTTATTTAAAAAAAAAAAAAAAGAAAAGAAAAGCTTGCATCACCACTAATGCTGCTTAAGCACTTGGGGTAGCCATGCATCATTTTGCCATGAGGCAGTATCAGAACACAAGACCACTAGAAAAATAGGTCTGCAAAGATGTAGAGGCAGGCATCGTTTTCACTTGCAAGGCTTAAAACTTTTGGTTTGTTTGGTTTTTTTTTAACCACAAATTACTTTTCCAAACCATGGACAACTTCGTAAACGTTTAGAAAAGTCTTCTTTAGTGTCTTTGGGAAGATGATAAATATTGAGTCTTGATCATCTGTTTTGACCAGATGCAACTGACTGGTCCAGACACCACCAAGCTTTGGGAGGGGATCTGCCATCTGAAGAAGTCACAATTCTGTAGAGATCCTTTAGAGAAGGAAGTCAGGTTCTTTAGAGTAGTCATGGAATGAGGGCTCCAAACTCACTGGCTGGCTGGGATTGTTTTGAAATGTGTGTATCCTGATGATGGAATTTGAGGTTTTGATGTTAGGGATTTTTTTCTCCTTGGGTTGTCTTGTTGGTTTTTGGATTTTTTTTTTTTTAAATTCCTGTGGAGACAATTCCATTCCAGCCTTGTTTTAATGAGTGGAATTTTTCGGATAATGCCTAATTCCCTTGTGCTGTTCTGTAAGGCAGTATGGACAGTGTCCCTGCTGCTCTTAGAATCATTAAGGTTGGAAAAGACCTTTAAGATCATCAAGTCCAGCTGTAAACCATGTTATTGTCAGTTGTCAATCATGTTATGGTTTCTGCAGTGTTGAACTACTGTGCCAACAGGGAATTTAAAAGTGGTGCTAAATGGTTTGGAAGACCTTTTCCTAGAACTTGGAGGTTGAAGTTATTAGAACTTGCTCCTCAGAAATAGTATGCATATGGTGTACTATCTCCAGTCCAGCTGTCAACTCTTCCTGATTTTTTTATTGTTGTTGTTTGTTTTTGAGGAGTGGAGCGGGAGTAAAGGGGAAGTGGTTTTCTTAGCATTCATTCAACAGGACAATGTTCTTATTATCCTGGCTTCTTAAGGTCGTAAACATTGAACAACATTGGTAGCTTTTAAGGAGTCTGCTATTGTGGACTTGGATAAACTTATTAGTCACGAACTTGAATCATTTGACTAATTTCTGCCAATGTTGATTTTACAAAATCTTTGTAGCATGGAATAACTGATGAAGAATAACTCTTAGCTGCATAAGTAGTATTCAGATTTAAAGAAAAATAATATTTTAGTTCAAAAATGTTGTGAAGCTATGCATCTTGGACCTGGGAGCTGTGACTTACCCTTAGACGCATAAGCTTCTGCTTTCCATTTCATTGACCATTTTAGATTTGCTGTTCCATGAGAAGACAAAGAAAATATTTGTGTCTTTCCCTTTTATATGCTTTTGCTTAATACTTTCTCTAATCTGATAATTTCTCTCGGCTTATTTGGTTTCTGAAGGTAGTTTTCCACTCTTATTCTAGTTTATTAGACTTACCTAGAAAGTGAGGAAGAAACAGCTTGTTAAGGTAGGCTTATCTTCAGAGAACATTTTAGGGAACTCTTACTAAAACTGAAATTGCCAAGTGTCTCTCAATTGAGTGACTAATGGGTCACGAGCACAGTAAACTTGAATATTTTGCAAATGGGAGCTGTTTTCCTCAAGGTCTGCGTTCAGGGTTGGTAAATGTTCCTGAGGTTGCATGCTTGAGCTCTGACGCTTGATCAAAAATAATAAATCAGCTTTTCTGAGAATCCTTCTCGTTGTTGCAAGTTCAGCCACAAAATAAGCTTTTGCATTTTCTGCAATTATTGGGATTTATGCCTTCCTGCCCAAGAGCTGAGTTTGACCACCTATAATTTTTCTCATTTTGAGCAGTTTAGTTTTTCTGGTTTTCAGAAATGCAGCAAACTAGATCTGCACTAGTGTATTCAGTTTTTGTTTTGAAGTAAGAGGAAATTCGTTCTGTAGTGAAAAAATCTCTTCTAGTGTTCATCTTGGAAGTCTAAATTCAGGTGAACAGACCAATTTAGTGAGCTCCACTAGATACTGGGTAGACATTTTCTTCCTGCTGTATATTTTGGCCTTATGTTGAGGAGTTTGATTTATTATTAAATTATTTGTGTATGCAGACTTTAATCTGTACGTATTTTATTTTGATGTATTAGGATTTGTAAATATTACTGATTTTTAAATATTATTTATGCACATACTTAAAGGACTGGTCTATCCAGAAGAGCAATTGCTAAATAATAAATGTTACTTTTTAGAAATAAATTGCAAGATCATGAAATTGTATATCCCTCAGGGTTATTTTTAAAGTTTTTTTTTCTCTTTTCCCTTCAGATTCAATTAGCAGTAACTCTAGTTTCATGTACTATAGAACTAAATCTACTGTAAAAAGAAAGTGCTGCAAATAATGCTTGAGTTGAAGCAGCTAAAACACCCACAGAACTGACTGTCCATATTCATCGTAGCTTCAAATTGGAAACTCTTACTGTTGCACTTTTAAAAAGTTGTTGGATTTTTAATTCTATTTATTTTTTTTCTTTCTTCATGAAGGTTGTGCTGAACGGTCATCCCAAATTGGGTAAATAATCCTGTACTGTATATGTCTATACAGTATAATCCTAAGCAGATGTGGAGTCCTTTTTATGCTGCAAATTTTTAACGCTCATGTTGGTCATCGCAAAATGAGAGAGCTCAAGTCCTGTAGGATTTCTCCCATGAAATTCTGAATTGTAAACTTAGGTTTTTGTATGTCTAAGGGAAAGCTGTGGGTTTTTGACAATTTTTAGAGTCTTGAATATGTTAATTTTATACAGTAAAGCTTCAGGTTTTTAAAACTATTTTCAACAAACTGCAGCTTGTTTAATAATTATGTGAATCAGAAACTACTCAGTTTGTCATGAATTCCTCAAGCCTAACACAGATTAAAATGTTCATCATTACAGCACTCTCTAGAAGCTCAGCTTCCTTTTTATTTTTAGATCTGAAATGATACTACATCTTTGTATTTAAAATATGTATTGCTGCTCTAGAATGGTACCCTGTTGTCAAGAGGCATACATAAATAACTGTACAATAGAATTGTAAATAGACTTGTAAATCATTTTTGTGACTGAAGCTCTTTGAAAATAAAATTAAAATGAACAGATATTTTAACTCCTTTCATTAGTTTCATGAAATTGTTTTTAATTATTCTGTATAGAATTAGACCTAAAGCTCATTGAAGAGCAGAGACTTATTCCCACTGACGTCATGGGTATCTTGATCAGCACCTCTGTATTTTTGAAGGTGGGGGTGGAGGAGTTTGCATGCTGTGTGTCAGTGTTCTGCTCTGCAGTGGGATCATACTGACCATAGTTTTACCTGGTGGTTTATAAGAGCTGTTTTAAAGCCAGACCTTGTCCATGTGATAGCAACTTGTTTCCACCTTCCATTGTTCAGATGTTCCTTCTGTTCTTTGACACGTGGGAGGTGATCTTGAAAAGACTCTTGGGCAAATGCTCCTGGGTGTGAGCTGTCACTGTTGTCATGGTCATCTTCAGAAAAATCACATGGAAATGAAGAAATCTTTTCCATTTTTGGGCTCACCTTCCATTAAAACATTCATTGGCAGAGCACATTATTTTAAACTTGAAGACAAAATACTTGAAATAGCTGGTCACTTAATAACAGAAACTTAATCTTTCAATTTCAAGCTACTGTTTTTGAAACTTAGCTTTTTGAAACTTCACTTTTCTCTTTCAGAATCTTTCAGGCTCTAGGTTTTGTTGTCCTGTCACTCCAGAAGACTTTGAGTTAAAACCAGAAACCAAATGTGTCGACCTTGGAATGCTTAGCCAAAACATTAAGTAAAAAAAAAATTAGTTCCTTATTGAAATTTCTTTGACTCCAATCCTGCAAGAAAGTAAGTCAGAGCAGCTTTGTGAAAGTACAATCGCTTGGTTGTTTAAAGTGGGTGTGTCCACTCCTTTAAAACCTAATGCACCTGTGTAGCAGACTGTGGTGAACCTGTCTAACAAATTTGAAATTTCTGATCACAGTTTGCATGGAAATGTAGATTTCTGACTTCACCAGATTTGCATTGGGTTGACTGAAGCCCATACTCCAATATCACTGTCAAAAGAAGCTACAAGTGGTTTTTGTGCTGTTGTGCATGTGACTTAAAACTTTCTCCTGTTCTGTGAGTGGCCTCAAATCGTACTTTTGGAGTTTCATACAACCTATGGAAGTTGGTTGCTTGCATAAGTAATTGTAGGCAAAAATCTGCTCTGAAGCTTAAAATATTCTTTGGCCTTTCCCAGTAGTTGGGCAAATATGGGTAAAAGTGTTATCTAGAGGATGCGTTTTGCTGGTTTACTTCCCATTTAAAGTGCAGAGTCATGGTGAAGCCTGATTGCCTGCTATGCTCCCAGTAAGTTCCTCTAAAAAGCAGATAAGTTTCTAAGATACAGCTCAAAATTCCTTTCTCATGCTTCTGTGAGTTTAGGAACTTGGAAGAAAGTAAAAAAGGTAAGCACCCACTGTAAGTGATATGTGTGCTCAGTGTTCTGTGAAACTAAGTTCAAAACTGATTTGAGACTTTTAATATAGTAACAGTATTCATGTGTTGCTTCTGGCATCCTTTTGTAGTCTTGAGAAACATTAAGGGCATGGCAGAAAGGGAAAGAGGCTGTAGATCAGAACGTGGTAAATGACCAGCCAGGCTGGTGCCCTTTCTGGAATGCCAGGTGTCTCACGTGAGGGTTTGAGAAAATTCTCATACACGGGAATGTATAGCTATGACCTTTATTGTGGATATTATTGTATTCTGTACTGTTAAAATCTTCAGTTATGGAAATTTAAATATTTCTTCAAAAAACACCATCAGCAGCTCTCGATGTTTGAGACCCATAGGATTATCCAGTTGTTGTGCCAGTCACACACGTGTGTGGCCTTCATCTCTTGCAAAGAATTTCAACCATTTCATTGTTTGCATGTAAAAACAAGCACTTTCTGCACTTCTGAGCTCTAACCTTGTCTTGTTGTATACTCCTACCTTTTGTTATGAGACTAGGACAACAGACATTAAGTTTCTTATTTTACAGACTCTGGCCTGCAGTCATGCCCTCTGAGGGACCTGCATTTGCAGTCTATAGCATAACAGTTTCAGGGTTTTTTTTCCCCTGTTTGGTTCTCTATATTCTTCTCTTGTCTCACTGAATTTTGTAGTTCTGCTGTGGTCTTGGATTGAGTTGGTGCAGGTGCTCTGAGATGCCAGTCAGAGCTTGAAACAGAAATTTCTTAGTCTGTTTCTGCATGGAGGATGCCACTCATGGGGGATTGGCTGGATTACAAGTTTACTGAGGTAGAAGCATCACTGGTTTCTGAGAGAGAGTCAGTTTGGAGGGTGCAGATTACTAGGAGGGTGAGATTCTCTGAAAGATTCTTGTTTGACATGGAAAAAGACCTTTGGAAGAGTGACATCTTGTGCTCTCTTTGTGATGCACGTCTCATTCAGTGAGCTGTGGAAGGCCCAGTAAGATCTTGTTTTGTGGCACTGTGTTGCTGGTAGTTGATACCACTGGATGCCGTGTCCTTCCCTTCCCGAGGAAGGGATGCAGATTTTACCAGACCTCAGTACTCTGAACCTAAACAAAATTTTTTTAAGTTTGTTTTTTTCTTTTTAAGCACTCCCTTTTGATTTTTATTTTTTTTTTAATGCAGCAGCTGGTTTGGATCTGCAGCTATTTTGGGTCTGTATGGTATGGTATGTTCTTGTCAGCAGTTCAGGTGCATGAGAAGCTCTGCTGTTCCCCTTGACTTAAATGATGGGAGTTGTACCCATGTCTGTCTGTGGGGTTGGTATGAGAGACCTTCATCCTTGCCCCTGGAAAAGGGTATGTTGGGATGAAGTCCTCCTCTCACACAGTGTTCCTGATGCAGAAGACAGCTATTCCAGTTATGTCTGTGGAAGTTGTCTAGCTATTCCAGCTGTCCCAGCTGCTGCTTATCCTGCTGCTCAACCAGGTGTTTGACATCCAGGTTTATGCTGCACTTGGACTTCTTGATTTCACTAAGGAAGTATTTCTAGACTGGATTTCTGTTTAACTTGCTCTTTTAAATATTACCGTTTATAGCTGCAATGATTGCTTTCCTGTTCCTTTTTTTGTTTGAAAATCTATACAACTTTCCAGCTTTGTGGTATGTTTCATGCAGATTTACCTGTATTGCTACAACTTTCTACCTAACTTCGTGGCACTTTTTTCCTCTCATTTCACTGTATTTTTAATACCAGGAATAACTTGGTATTGCATTAAGCTGTTGAAATGAGACTTGTTGGTTATCAGAGGCTGTCCTGTGCCACGTGGGCTCTTGTGTGTTATTTAAGGCTATGTCAAAAATAGCCTGATGCTTCTTGTGTGTTCTTGGGCTGTTCCAAGAAGCGATCACTTGAAAATGCTGAGACATGATTTAACTGAACTGTGCTGTTTTGCTTTTTGCCACTTAAAATATAGGATGCCCTTTTTACCTCCATTATCTGTTTTTGCAGGCTAAACTTTATTTTTAAACCTCAGATAACCCACAATAGAAAAATACTGTGGGTGCAGGACCTTTTGATAATTTTTAAAAAAGATTTTCTGCATGTACTTTAGTATGATGTACTAAACCTTGTCTAGTGGAAGGTGTCCCTCCCACTCCATGGTTGGAACTAGATGATCCTTAAGGTCCCTTCCAACCCAAACCATTCTGTGATTTTGTAATGCTTTTCTGTTCAAATAAATACATATCTTATGACTACTTAGAGTTTCATCATGGTTTTTATATGCTTTCTTTGTACTTGACTAGTACAAACATAAGGAATACTTGATTTACAAAAGACCTTTATCTGTACCTCTCTGTAAGCTGAGCAGCTTATAAATATTTGCAGTAACAGAGATTTTGAAGTTTGCTTTCAAGCCAAGAGAAATTTTGCACACATTTGCAGGTTTTATGATATAATCACACATCTTTGTGAGCTGCTAAGTTATTAACTACTTGTGATCAAATCCTGACTCTCTCTTATCTCTTGTAACAGCTAATGTTTCTGGCAGTTCAACAAGGATGTTGGTGTTCCGTTTGTCACTGATGATCAAGCTTTTCTTCCAGTTGGATGCATTGGTTTGTCCTGAGAAGTGTGACTGCTCTTCAAAAAATGCAGTTCATTGCTCGGGTCCCCACATAAAAGACCTGGCATCTTTAAATCTGCCTTGCAACATGACACAAATCCACATAACGAACACTAATGTGCCGTACTTGCAGGATGTTTTTTCTAGGATGGTGGAACTGCAGCATCTCATCTTGTCTTCAAACAACATCTCTCTGGTTTCACCAACGGCTTTTAAAGGGTTGAGAAATCTAAAAGTCCTCAAACTGCTAGATAATAAGCTTGTTGAACTTCCTCCAGAAGTGTTTGATGACATGGTGCAGCTTCAGCAATTGATCATCGAAAGTAACAGGTTGAAATCCATCGAGGAAAATCTGTTTGACAAACTAGCTAGTTTGGAGGAACTTTACTTGAACAAAAACCAACTAACAGCACTTCCCAGTGACGTGCTGAAGAATCTTACCAAACTCAAAGTACTGAACTTGTCAAGAAATTACTTAGCAGCACTACCTAGAAATATATTCAGTGCATTAGCCAGGCTTGAGAAGCTGATGCTGTATTTTAACAGGCTGTCTTCAATAGAGTCTGGTATGTTTGATAACCTGACGGAGCTGCAGGAACTCTTCCTGCATTGCAATAACATCCAGTCCATCGCCCCTGATGCATTTCATTGTCTTCACAAACTGAGGCGCCTGACGCTCTCCAGAAACAACCTTGAGGTTTTGCCTTCTGGGCTTTTTTTGCACTTGCATGACCTGTGTAAACTGACCTTATACAGGAACCCACTGAAGTCTCTTCCAGAAATACTGTTTGGAGAAATGAGGCATCTTGGTAGCCTGTGGCTGTATCACACAAAGCTCTCAACGATACCAGATTTTGTGTTCAGTAACTTGACAAATTTAGAGCTTCTTGTGCTGAGTTTTAATCCAGAGCTTACGGTTCTTCCTAGGAATGTGTTCAGTGGCCTGAATGAACTGCGAGGCCTTTCTCTGCATACAAACAATATTTCCAGTTTGCCAGAGGGCATATTTCTGAGCCTTCAGAAACTGCAGAACGTTTCCCTCTTTGGTACAAGGCTTGAGGTTCTTCCTAGAGACCTCTTTCATAATCTCAAGCACCTCCAGAAGGTTTACCTGAATAGTACTAAGCTGCAGTTTCTTTCTGCAGACTTCTTTGCCGCTTTACCTGAGCTGCAAGAAGTTGTTCTTGACAACAACCCTTGGAAATGTGATTGCCAAATTCTTGGCTTCCGAGAGTGGCTACAAAAGAGCACGGATATAGTTAAAGATGTGCCATCTCTAATGTGCCACAGCCCACTGGCACTGCAGAATATTTCTCTTGTGGCTCTAACCATTGATGGCCTGAAGTGCCTGCCAACCACAGCCATTACGTATCAGACACTCAGCTCAACTTATTCCCAGACCTTGACGTCTCCTGTGACGGAGCACTTAAGATCATCTTGGGAGATTTCTGTAACAGCAGTGTTTGACATGGAAAGCAGCACACCCACATCAATTCCTCCTGAGACTCCAGGTTTTACCTACTCCCATGTTGAAGATGTTGGACAGCCTGGGTTTCATTTCTCAGATGTTCCAATACAAACTTCTCCCAGCGTCATAGCACGAACTGACAGTGTCAGAGGAACAGATTTAACTACTCTTGTCTGGTGGGATGAGTTGCCAGCCCACAGGAGTGCTAAACCCTATTTTAATACCAGAATTGCTTATTGCCAGCTATTCTTGTGCCTGCACAGTTTGATTTTAGCACTCCAGACTGTAACCATTGTGCTCAGTCTGTATGTGATGGGTAAAACTAGGCAACTCTTGCACTCCAAAAATACTCCTGCTCAGCCTGTAGTTCTGATAAGATTGTTAAGAAGATAGAGCATACTAGCCCAAGAGAGGATTAGAAGCATTGCCTTGGATGCAGTTTAAGCAGTTGATACTCGATTCAGATCTGGATTACAAATCTTCATAGCAAGAATTATAAAGACCTTGGCTTTACAGCATAATGAAAATATGCTTTTATGTACATCACAGTTTTTGCCAGAAGTGGCTGTAATCACTGTACATTGCTACAGCATCTGGTGCAGGAACCCAGAGGGAGAGCTGAAAGTGCCTGTGGTCACCTCAACATGTCCTCTGTGGGTTTCCTGCTTTGGCCCTCAGCCCTGTGCCTGCTCACACTGCTCCAGTGGGGTGGCATTAACATAGGAATGTTGATAGGAGCTCTACACAGGAACATGGCTTTAACTGTGCTTTAGAGAGTGCCCAAAGTACTCTAAATGCTATTATGCCTTATACTGCCTGTTTTGTCTCCTTATTGAGAAAACAAATGGTATTTTTGGGAGGAGATGCTGGGAAGGACCTTTTAACAATGGGAGTGTGGGTGGAATGGTACGATGCAAGTGTCTTAGCTTTTGTTCTCTGTCCTCAGCCCCTTTCCAGGATGTGGCATGAGGAAGGGGTACCATTTAAAGCTAACAGCAGAGGAAGATGGTGAGATAGGAAGTATAATCTTGATGTACTTTATTGTTTGTCTGGGGAGGGGGAGAGTTGGAAACTTTGTAAAGTTACTACAGCTCTGAATTTGAAGTAAACACTTTCATCCTTAAACTTTGGCCAGTGGTCTGAAAAAGCAAGGTGTTACTGGCTGTGTGATGCAGGAAATCTTGAAACCAGAATAACAGGCAGGTGCCCAGAACTGAGGCTGGGCTTCACAGGAATGTATTAGATTGGAGCTGGTCTTGACTGAGGTGGGAGAGAAAGGCATGGTCTCTCCTGGGCTGGCTAGCCAAACAGGCATGCAGCCAAGCAGCAGGGAGCCTGCCTGAACTGAGGGCCCTGAAATGTCACCACTGTTTTGAAGCTGACTGGGGAACGTACACAACTCCATCAGCTTGGAGTGTGCAGTAGCATTTTCAGTCTGGCTAATTTTTACCTTATTACATAGTGCTACTCCCTGACTTCCAGGCCTTTCAAGTGTTGATATGCAAAGACAACTACAAGGCAATAATGTGGGTTTTGGTCTTCATACCAAAATGCTTATTATTATTTGAATTATGTAAATATTTTAGTTTGTAAGTAGACTGGTAGCTGTCAGACTGCCTGTGCTTTGGTAGCTCTTGGATTTAACTATTACCTTTTAATTATGTGACTTAGCTTGTTCTTAAAAGCTCTGATGTTGTGCTTGAAAACCTTTGGATGTGGTTCCCCAGCTCCTTGGACCAGAGAGCCTGTACTCCAGGAGTCCTTTTTTAGTTGTACTGACTTTCTAACTATTGAAGGCATTTCTGGATGGCCTTAAAATGGCACAGTACAGACCTGAGGTGAAGAAAACTTGCATTTGCTGCAGATCTGTGGCTGGTTCCCTTCTGTGTGTTACTCTAGGCAGTGAGAATAAAGTATTACTGCTTTGTTTCAGGGCATTCTGCTGCTGGGCTTGAATTCCTCTTCCAGGCTGTGAAAGGAGACAATGTGACTCTGTGGTGTGAAATGACCATTGTCTTGCTGTGAGGTTTAACAAAATTTAGTAAGCCTGGCTAAATGGGAGTTAGAGCTATCTCTAAAGAAGCAGAAATGCCAGTCACTACAACTGGTGCAAAGCAAACTGTGACTGGATTCAGAAAACAGATGCTCCAGAATTTTTATTGCAATACATTTGAGAGAAGCACAAAACTAAGAGGAAGCTCTCTTGGTGGTGGCTCTGGGTGGTTGCATGCTGGTGTTTAAAAGGAGACAGTTGTTACAAATTTAGGTTCTTGTTGGACAGCTGTAATGACCACTTAGTGTTGTGCCAGCTCCAGCGCTGTCATATGGTGCCACGCAGGCATCTGCTTCCAGCAGCAGGAGATCAGTATAATCAAGACTAGCAAGGAAATGGTTCTACAAGCCATGCTGGTGATCATTCTCCTTGGAGAAGGAAATGTTCTCCTGGCTCCAGGCATGCACAGTATCTGATTTCTAAGGAAAAGCACCCCTTTGCTCGCCATGTGGGTGTACGACACCCTGATGTCTGGCCTCGGGGAGGGCAGTGGGGCAGCACCAGCTGCTGTTTTTCTGAACCCTCCTCTGGCCACCCCAGCCCTGCAGAGGGGCCAGCTGGGCCCCCATGCTGCTCCTTGGCTCCCACATGAAGTCACTGATCTCCGGCTCTGGCACGTGGGGGCTCTGGCAGGCGGCTGCACACAGGCAAGTGCTAAGAGGAGGATGATTCCTCTTCACATGCTGTCATCGGGCTTTCCCCATGCTTGAGCCAGACGGGGAAGTGAAGTCATCAGGCAACAAAAGGCTGGAGCAATGAAAGCCTGGGGTGTTTTACTAACTCTTCCTCTGAGGTGTCCTGTTTTGAGTGCCTGTGATTCATTGTCTCTTGCCCAACAGAGCTCAGCCCTTCCTGCAAAATTCCCTGGCCTGAAAAATCCAAGGATATCCTTATTTATACTCCATCTCTGTTTTTCCCGGAGAGGGAAAAAGGTCAGCATGATGCAGTTGAGGCAAGCTGGAAGGCAGCAGAAGGTTCTTGGGAAAACTGCAGATGCATCTCAGACCCCCTCCGGGGAGCCTTGCCTGGCTGCTGCCTCAAGGCACCGATCCCTTGCCACTGAATAGGAAAGGTTTTTCTCCCTTCCTGCAGCCCAGGCCTCCATGATCTACTGCCCAGCCTTTGCCACCAGGCTGGTCTGGGGAGACAGTGGGCTGGAAGAGCTGGAGGTACCTAATCCCTGGTCAAGTGGGTCCTGACATTATGGAGCATTGACTGTGTCTCTGCCAGGCCTGGACCAGCAGGTCTTGCCTGGGGCTGCTGACTCGGCAGCCCTGATATCAGAGCATTTCCTATGGATGACAGAGGAGCTGGGAGGAGACACAGCCAAAGGCACGTACCCTCTGGACAAGGCTGGGGCTGTGAGTGTTTACAGACTCTCACAGTGGTCAGGGGCCCAGAAGCTCCTGCTTTGTCCCTTCTAGGAACGGACAAGCTAAGGAGGTGTCATGCCTCCGTTTTCATTGCCAAAGTCTGGGTTCACATTCCCTTCTCTTCTGGGTGTTTATGAATGGATAAACCCTGGCACAGCCTCTTGCTTGGGCTATACGGGGCAAGTCCCACTTCAGGGTGGGGGGCTGCTGTTCCAGCAGCACCCGGAGCCATCCCCCACCACTCCCCCACTGGACTCAGCCCCTCTTGTGCAATCTCTGCTGTAGGACTGACATGCCAGGCTTCCAGCTGTGCCTTTGTGTCTCTCTGGATGGGAAAAGCTTGGGGCAGGGAGCCAGTGATGGCTGGCAGCAGTTCTGCAGCCTGCTGAACACTCCTCTACTGCCTTCCCCTGGGGAGAGATGGGGTCCCTTCCCCCTTCGGATGTTGGGAAGAGGTCACTGGGGCCCTTCCTGGTGCCTGGGGGGGCTTTACAGAGATGGAGAACAGGGTGAAGCTGGTCCAGCAAACACCTCACAGTGCACAAGCCCCACGCCATCGCCTCCTGCTCCAGCCAGTCCTTCCCCCCTCTCAGAGCCCATCGGACAAGCTCTTTCCGCTTTGGATTATCTCTCCAGGCGGACTTGGCTGCGAGCCCCACATTCCTTCCAGCCTAGTGCTGCCCTGAGCCTGCGCCAAGCCCTGCGTGCTTCTGCTATCGCTCGGGCCAGGGCTGAGTCTGGAGGAGACGGTTCTGCTGGTGGGGTGAGCCCCACTGGTGCTTGAGATCCTACATGCCATTTCCCTTGAGCTCCAGGAGGGTTGTGGTGGTGCTCGGATGGAGGTTAGCCTGATGGCCATCCCTGCAACCATCTTGGAGGGACCAGGGCTGCTGCTCCCTCCCAAAGCTCCCACTTTGCATAAGCACTTTCCCAGGGAAAGCAGGATGACCCCATCCCTTGGGTCAGATGCAGAGAGGGCATCATCTGGCCCTGCATTCCTTGAGCAGGGAGCTGAACATGCCACTGGGGCTGGATCATTTCCTCTATTGAGGAGCTCTCTGGTTTGGGTTCCTCAGGGGATTAGGGTGGGCATGGGATGAGGTAGGGGCTACTGGTGCTTCTCTAAGGGGTAGGGGGGCCCCAGCACCAATCCCTGAGGAACTAATGCCCCTTTCCTCACCCCTCAGCTCTGGCTTGAGCCTGTGGGTCCTGCTGCAGCACTCAGACCCAGAGGTGTTCCACTACACTGGAACATGGGGAGGATCCCCTCCATGGCCCTTAGCCCAGCCCTCCACCCTCCTCCTCCACTTCAGCAGTGTTTGGCCTGATGCCCCGGGTGAGCCGGTCTCTGCGAGCACCAGGGGCCAACATGGGGGTTTCTTGTAACGGGGCTGGCACTTTACAGCAGTGGAAAGTAATTTGGGGGGGTCCCAGCACTGCACTGTGGGGAGTGGTGGGGCCTGGGGACGTTCCATCCCACCAAGGGTGCCAGTTTAGCCAGGAGCTGGAGGTGTACAGGGAGCAGGGGCTGAGGGGGGAGCAGGGGCTGCGGGGAGCGGATGAGTGTGCTCAGCTGCTTGGCAGATGAACAATGCTCTCTCCCAGCCAAGCCCACAAGCTACTAATTTTAGCGATTACATGAATTTTTCCAAGCAGTCTCGAGTCCCTTGGTGATTCAGAGCCTCTCAGCTTTGCTGCATCCGCCACCCTCGCCATGGAGATGTGCTGGAGCAATGCCAGCATGGACAGACAGACACGGGACTGGTACTCTGTCCTGTAGCAAGGCAGACCTCCCTGGTAATAAGTGACACTGCTCTTCTGGGGCTCCATAGCCTCCTTGGAGGTGCAGGGATTTGGCAGTGCCTCCACAGTATCCCAAGCTTGGTCAGGGGAGTTCAGCCTCTGGCTGGTGTGGCTGGAGGTGAGAAAGGTCTGCAGAGCAATGCTGGATGTGGGGCTTTCCCCCAGCATTGGGAGACTTGCTCCACTCCATCCAGTGCTGTGTGAGCTCCTGGCTATGCGGAGTAGCCTCTCCCTGCAAAATGCTAATTTCACCCTCCGTCATATCCTTATGCTGTCTTGGGAGCTGCCTCTCCCCTCCAGATGTGTGGGGTGTGTCTGTGCTGCTGTCCCAAGCTCTCACACCCTCTGCTTCTCTGCCTTGTGAGTAGCCTGGGGCAAGCTCCCATGCACTCACCTCCGGCTGCGGGAGTGGTGCACGGGCTTGTGCCTTTATTTTTAGGAATGTCTTGAAAATAAGTCATCCTTCCCTGCCAGAGCCAGGTTCCCAAGGCCCAGGTAGAGGCTGGTGGATTTTTGTCAGGACTGTTAACTAGACTTCTCTGAAACTCTGGGCACTCTGCGTGGCCGTAGGGATCATAACCTGATCACCCCCCCTCTTGGGGCGGGGTGTTTGAGGGTACCCACCACTAAATCCCTGGGGCAGCACTGCTTGGAAGGAGGTGAACCCGACATTCCTCTCTTAAATTGGGCTTGGGCATCGGAAGTGCTGGGATTTAGTTTCTCTTGCCTTGCTGAAAAGCTGTGTGCTTCTGGGTGAGTCAGAGCGGGCAGGAGCCCAGCAGCACTGGCAGCAGGCAGACAGAGCCCGATAAGGCTGTGATAAGGCTGCCAGAGCCCTGCTCTCATGCCAGGGCTGCAGGGAGTGGGCAGCAACCAAGCCTTGACCTCCGGCTGCACTGCTGTCAAGAAAGCGGGGAGATTATTTTGGGAACCATGGTTCTGGGAAAATCTGCTGTATCAATAGAGTGTGAGCTAGAGCACTTGGGGGGTGGTGTTTTCAAAGTGCCCTTCCTCTGTGCCCAAATGTCTGGGTTTTGCCCTGGAGCAGGCAGAGAGCGTGGCCAGGGAGTTGTTTCAACCTCCATGCTCACTCCCCAGCCAGAAGGGGGTCCATGGCCATCCAGCATGTCCTATGGCAGCTGGGGGTATGGCAGTGGTGGCAGTTGCCTCTAGCTGAGGTCCCACTCCCTACCATCTTCCCACGATCCCTGTCTCCTCCCTCCAAGACTGTCTGGGAACTCTGCTCTCCATCCCTGCAGTTTGCTGTTTATCCTGGTCTGGCCCCCTCTCTGAACAGGACTGCTGTCCCTTCCACTGCCCTGCACCCTCCCACCCCTCACAGCACGACACACTGCGGTGTGGGGACGGGGGCCGCCTTCCTCCCCCTTCTCTGGCAGCAGCCCCATGCTGTTCCCATCTTGAGCAGCTTGTCAGCACCAGCTGGGACCTGAGCAGGGGCTGCTGCAACTGGCGGAAACATGGGTGGGCTCAGACAGGATTAGATGTGGTCAGGCAAGTTCCAGCTGCCCCGTGGTTAGCATGGGACTGCTCTGGCTCCAGGAAGCCCAAAGAGGCCACGTATGGTGACTCTCAGCTGCTTCCTGCGGGATATCCGTTCCCGTTAGCTGCTGGACTGGGACAGCCCTGGAGAGGTGGGCAAGGTGGGGAGACCTGGGCTAGGTGGTGGGGACCAAGGGCACCCTGGTGTACCCATGTGGGCTGGAGGGGGCAGGGTAGGGGTGGCATCAGGTGCCCCTGAAGAAGTGGATGGGATGGCTTGGATGCTTCCCAAACACCCCTGTGTGCCAGGCTCCATCACCTGTGTGTCAGGACTGCTGAGGGTCCAGAGCAGCGGCAGCTCCTGGGAGATGGCAGTGTGTGCTGCTCTGGAGTTGCAGGGATGCCTGCAATGGGTGTTCCTCAGTGCCCAAGTGTTCCTCATGGCTACTGGGAAGTGCTCTGGCTTAGCCTGAAGGCTCTCTGAAGCAGCCTGACCCCTGGTTGGCACCTGCATAGCCACTGATCCTGGCGTGGTGCCTGTTTCCTGGCAAGGCTGGTTGAGGTGCTCACAGGACAGAGCCTGGAGTGTGTGCTCGTGGGTGCCTGGCCTGTTTGCATCTGTGGCTGTAGGGGAAATGAGAGCTGTGACATGGGCAGAGTCGGTATACTGGGGGTCTGCCTGGACAGGAGGTCCTGTCCAGCAGCCCTGGACAGGAGGTCCTGACACTTGCAGGAGCCATAGATGGGGAGACAAATTCTGTGTTTGTGCTGAGGTTATGCCATAGAGCAGCCCTGGTGTGAAGTGTGCCAGTGAAGGCACACAGCTGTCCCACTGGGGACCAGGGGGGTTCCTGGGGCCAAGCTGCTACACTGGCTGACATGAGCAGCATGTTCATGGGGCCATCTTCTTGTCTTCAAACAAGAGCACGGGGGTTCAGGAGAGGGAAACTCCATCCTTGAGATGCTTGCTCTGCCGAGGAAATAGGAGTTGGAAGCAGCTCTGCTCCAGCGCTTTCCCTAACCTCGACACTGCCCCTGTGCTGATTCATTGATTTGGACGGGTTATATACTGGGAGGGGAAGCGTGAACCACACTCAGCTCTCTTGCCAGCACGGGGCTGTGCTCACTCGGCGTTCGTGGCTGCAGGACACTCGGGTAAGTCTCCTCTCTGCTATTGCCTCTGTGAGCAGCCCCGGGTCTGGGGGACTCCCAGGGCAGCTCCGAGGGTTGGTGGTGCATTGGTGGGATCTGCATGTTCAGCACCTTTTGTTTTGATGGAGATGTTTATCTTGCAAGGCTTCTCCAAAAAAAGTGAGACCACTTACACGCTGTGGGAGCTGAGAGAGTTACATGGGCAATGTATCCCAAAAAATTATCAATAGAGAAAATTAAGGGAGGCAAAGTAACATTTTGGGGGGCTAATGTTAGGAGCAGTGTGATGCTGAGGGGCTGAGCAGTAGGGAATATTTGGCCTCTTGGTCTGTAATTTTTTTGTCCCTAGAAGAAAAAGGGAGATCAATTGTTTCCAGCTGCCTTTCCTGAAGGTCTCTCCAGTATGGATGCTCTCTGCGCTGCATTACCAGGGAGTGACATGAGCTGGGCTTTTGATGTGCTGAGCCTTTGGGGAAGTTTATAAATGGCTCACTATAAACAAAGCTGTTCTTGGATGCAGATTGTTTCCATATGGGAAACATAAACTGCTGGCTTATGGAGGGTTCCTCCCTGCCTGAGAGCAAGCATGTTCCTTGGAGGGAGTGTAGGGAGGGGGGCAGGGGCTGTGCTCCAGCACCCCAGGGTGCTGTGCCAGCTGGGGCACTGTGGCCACACCCCTGTGCTGCTGGACTTGCCTGTTTGGCTGAGCTGTGCTCAGGTTTTCCCCCCTCCCTTGTGCCCTCAAAGCTGTTAGAGGGGGGCTGCCCCATGCCAGCCTGGCACAAGGCTGCTGCTTTAATCTAGGAAGGGAGGAGAGGGTGTCCATGGTGTCTGTGCTTATGGGGGAATGGATAACTTCACTGTAAAGCTCTTGCTTCTCTGGGCACCACCCCTGGGACCAGCCTGCAAAAGGTGCCCACAACAGACACCCTGCTCTCATGGCAAAAATCAGCCAGGGCTCAGACCTTCTGCTGGGAATGGGGTGAAGACAGGGCCACCTCTGTACCCAGCCTGTGCTGGGGAGCTGGCAAGGGTCCTGTTGACCCGAGCTCCTGCAGGACTGGAGCTAAAGCGTGCCTGGGCAGTGGGGGCTGGCACTGCTCTTGGCTCTGCAAAAGACGCTCAGGGCCGCTTGCTGCCAAAGCAGAGCTGGAAGGGTGCTCGTGGATGCCGGGGGGAGCACCCAGCACCCTGGGTGCTGTGTGGCTGTGGGTGCCCCAGGCTGGCTCTGGTCAAGGTCTGGGCTGTTTGGCCATGCCAGGAGGCAGTGCTGCTGGCAGCAGCTCATCACACTCTGTAAAACAGGAAACCATGCTCCCGGCTGCCAGAGGAGCCAAGAGAGGTGGGATGCCAGGGATGCCGCTAATAGCTGTGGTATGGCAGCCAGGCACTGTGGCCCCCAGCTCTGTCTCACTTTGCACTCCTGCCTGGGCTGTGCCAAGGCCTGCCTGCCCCCAACCTTCCTTGCCTGCCCTCCTCTGCCTCATTGCCATGCTGGGGACAGAATGGCCACAGACTTGGTGGCCTTTTGCAGGGAGAAAGCAGCACCCACCCCTGGCAGTGGCCCTGGGAGCTGGAAAATTGCAGGGGCTGAACCCCCCACCTTTGTTTTTGCAGGCCCAATGGAGCAGGGAGACTGGCAGCGGTGGCTGCTGCTGCTGGTGGGCATCCAGCTGGCCAGTGGCCAGTGCCCAGAGCAGTGTCAGTGCGTCCGCAGCGCCCAGGTGGAATGCTCTGGTGCTGGCATCACCACGGTCCCCAGCCCCATCCCTGCGAATGCCATGACCCTTCAGATCATCAACACGCGCATTACCGAGCTGGGTGAGGCCTCCTTCGGCAACGCCTCCCTGCTCATCGGGCTGCGCATCGAGAAGAACAACCTGTCCCACATAAGCCCTGGGGCCTTCCAGCACCTGCCCGACCTGCGCTACCTCAGCCTGGCCAGCAACAAGCTGCAGGAGCTCCCTGTGCAGGTCTTCGAGCCTCTGGACAAGCTGGAGTCTCTACTTCTCTCCAGTAACCAGATCCTCCAGGTTGAGCCTTCCCACTTCACCCACCTAAGCAACCTCAAGGAGCTGCAGCTGCACGGGAACAACCTGCAGGAGCTGCAGGAGGGGGTGTTTGACCAGCTCACCAGCCTCACCAAGCTCAACCTGGCCAGGAACAACATCGACCGCCTGCCGCCCCGGGCCTTCGAGCGGCTGGCACGGCTGCAGGTGCTGCGGCTCTACGAGAACCGGCTCCGGCAGATCCCAGCGGGCACCTTTGATGGGCTGCCAGAGCTGCAGGAGCTGGGGCTGCACCAGAACCAGCTGGAGACACTGTCCCCGGAGCTCTTCGTGCACAACACCAATCTGCAGAAGCTCTACCTCTCCAATAACCTTCTCACCACTCTGCCGAGTGGCATCTTCTTGCCCCTGCACTCCCTTGCCAAGATCACCCTGCATGTCAACCGCCTGCAGGACATCTCCCCCAGTGCCTTTGGGCCCATGCCCAACCTGCGGGAGCTGTGGCTCTACGAGAATGAGCTTTCCAGCCTCCCCACTGGCGTCTTCAGCAATCTCACCCAGCTGCAGCTCCTGGTTCTCAGCAAGAACCGGCTGCGTTCGGTGGCACCGGGGGCTTTCCAGGGCTTGGGGGAGCTGCTGGAGCTGTCGCTGCACTCCAATGCGCTGCGCCGCCTGGATGCCCGGGTGCTGGAGGGGCTGCCCAAACTGCAGAACCTCTCCCTGCACCACAACCAGCTGCAGGCGCTGCCGCGGAGCCTCTTCCGGGCCACCCCTGGGCTGCAACGCCTGCAGCTGCATTTCAATGCCCTGGAGTACCTGCCCGCCGGCATCTTCTCCCCCCTGACTACCCTGCGAGAGGTGAGGCTGCACAACAACTCCTGGCGCTGTGACAAGGGCATCCTGCCCCTGCAGGGCTGGCTGGAGGACAATCCCCACAAGGTGGGTGAGACACCCCCGCTGTGTGCCCAGCCTCCTGCCCTGCTGGGCACCCCCATCGCTGAGCTGCCACGGGACCAGTTCCTCGACACTCAGTCCCCCACTGCCTCCTCCCATCCCAGCACCCACCTTCCTGCTCACAGCTCTGAGGCAGCATCGCCAGAGGGCGCCTGGACGGAGCCCCCGGCGGGGCTGCCGATCTCCCCACGGGAGGAGGAGGAGAGGGAGACGGAGGGAAAGAAGGAGGAGGAGAAGGAGGAAAAGAAGGAGGAAGAGGAGGAGGAGAGAGGGCAGTGGGGGCTGACACGCATACAGAGTGGAGTGGTGGTGGCAGTCATCGTGCTGGTGTGTGTGGCCCTGCTTGCTGCTCTGGTGGCACTGGTGGTCTATGGCTGTAGGAAGAAGAGCCAGGTCGTGCTTATGAGGATGAAGGCACCGAATGAAGCCTGAGTGTCCGGCAGACCCTAAGGGGAGAGGTGCTCATGGGGCATCCCCTCTTTGTGGGGCCAAGGGACATGACAGTGGCTCTGCATCAGCTGCCCTTGCTGACTGGGATGGGACAGCATCACCCTGTATGCTGCATGTACCGACCACTGTCCTCCTCTGCTTTGCCCTGCCCCTGCTCTGCAGCAGGGCATCCCCCTGGGTGATCTCCTGTGGCTGCCCTCTATTTCCAGTCCTTCTTGCCTCCAGTGCATCCTCTGTGCTCATTCCTTGCCCAAGATCTGGCAGCTAGGGTGTGAGGTGCTGAGAGGGATCCCTTGAGCCAGGAGCCACAGCCTGGTAATGATGGTGCTTACCCCAAATAACAGGACTTCCCCATCCTTCAGCTTGCATCCTTCCCTGCAGTGCTGCTGCTCTCGTGTTTCCTGCTAACCTCACCCCTACCCAGCCCCTCTTCCCCATCCTCTGCCCCTGTCATGCCTTCCCCCTGCCCCTGCCTGGACAGGCAGTGTGAGCCATCAGGCCGTGCCGAGCGAGCACCTTCGCCCCGGGAGAGCTCCGTGTCCTTGTGCTGCGCCGTCACTCGCCTGTGCCCGGGCAGGGTTCCCCGCGGGGCAGGGCTGCTGCCAGACTGATACACCCTGAGTGTCTCAGCCGCGTCCCAGCTGCCCTCCCTGCCTGCAGGCAGGGCATGCCAGAGCACAGCCAGCATCCTCTCCTGCTCCCGGCATCCTCCTGCTCCCCTCCTGCGCTTCCAACCAGGAGAGTCACGGGGCAGTGTGCTGGCATCAGTGGGGTAGGGGCAGCCCCCCAGCCCTCACTGCACGCTGGTGCTGACCGTGCCATGGCCCTGCCTCAGGCCCATGAGGTGCTGGGGGGCCTGGCACTGGCCCCACTGCAGAGGGAGTGAGAGGAGTGGGACAATGGGTGTGAAGTGTCTGCAGGGCCTGGGAGAGACTCTCGTGCTTATGTCCCTGGGCACCTGGAGCATGTTTGGGCTGCTCCTGCTGCAGCCCATCCCTGGTCCTCGATACTTCATGCATCCTCCACCAGCTAGTGAGCACCCTGTTCCTCTTGTGCTTGGTAAAGCTTCTTCACACTCTTATTCCTCTCTTGAGTGCCCTGCCTGTATGTGCCCAGTCTCCCTGCCTGTTCACAGCCCTTGGGCAGTGGGAATGCTGGCAGCACACAGTGGAGGGGTCAGCAAGCACTAGCTGCTCTGCAATTCATAAATGGGTGCCACACCATGCCCGCCCAGCACCTGCATCCAGTGAACACCCAGCCTTCTCCAGCTGTAGCATAGCCACAGAGGAGTCCAGCTCACCTCCATGTGTGCTGCAGTGGCACCAGGCTGCCTGAGGATTGCTGCCATGGGACAAGGGTCACACTCAGTGGCCACCCCATAGTGCTGGTTGCTCACAGTACCTCAGGAGGCAGTGCTGGCACAAGCAGCTTCACGCTGGTGCACAGGACTGTGTCATGGGGCCATTGGGTGCTGATGTGTGACCTTTCCATTAAAGTACTTTTGTCCACCCTCAGTGCCAAGAACTGTTTATTCACTCCTTCATGGTGTACAGCAGGGGAATGGCCCAACAAGGACAGGGGCTGTGCTTGATTTCCACTCCTAAGAGGTTTTTGTAGTGTTGAGAGAAAGCCCGTACAGGCTGGTGGGGCTGGGAGAGGATTAGTGGATTGCTGTTGCAGAGTCCTTGCTGGTCCCTGGACTCCAGCCTGGGGTGAGGGACTAAGAAGGGCTCAGCCATCCAGCAGCAGCAGATGGCTCTTGAAGTGAGCTGAGACCACAGGAGCTTCTCAATGGAGACACTGACTGCGTCCTGTGCAATCCACTGCTGGGGTGGGGAGGAGCTTGTTTGGCTCCCTTCAGAGCTGGCTGCTGCTGGGCTGTGTCAGCTGAGTTTTTCTGTGTATCACTGTCTGCTCCATCAGGCCAGCAGTAAAGTGACACCCCCCCTCCTGACCCTCCACGGTGCTGCCACCCTGCCCTGTTCCGATACAGGCCCTTGCAATGCAGCCCTTACGGTACTGTGTGCTGCTTCCCCAGGCAGGTTGAAATTCCTAGTGAGTGCAGCTGGTCCATGGGTCCCCTGCCATCCCATTGCTGGCTGGGATGCAAAACACCTGTTGTCACCATGATGGTCCCACAGTGGTCCCCTCCCCACAGAATCATGGAATCATTAAGGTTGGAAAAGACATTAACATTATAAAGTCCAACCTTCATTTGCCTTGCTAAGCTGTGCCTAGTCCCCTCTCTTGTGACACAGATGCTTCTAGCATCATTTCCCAGTGAGATTAATAAAGTCCTGGGGCTCTCCTAGGGGGTTTCTGGAAGCAAGCCTGCTGACCTCAGTGTGGAACTGGAGCCACCCTTGCCACTATCCCTGGGCCAGTGGATGTCCGGGGCCAAGACCCCACTTCCTTGCCAGGATGCTCACGGGCGGCTGCCTCTGGCCTCACCTCCAGTCCTCCGGGGTTGGGTTATTTTTCAAAGTGTTCCAAGGACACGGGTTGTTGTTGCCGATAAGCAGTGAGAGGCAGCTCCACCCCAGCAGGAACAACTCGTCTGCTGGCTTCCCATCCGCCCCAGAAAACACTGTCCCATCTCAGCAAGCAGCATCCCTGCAAACCTGCACAGGTTTGCTGACCATCTCCACGATGCCACATTCGGTAAGTGGTGGGGCCACAGTGCTTGGGTAGTTTGGGGGGCCTGGGACGGGTGGGAGCCACTGCTGGCTCTGGTGAAAACAAGCGAGGTGGTGGAAAGGAAACGCCAAGCCCAGCGCTGCTCTCAAGTGTCAGAGTAAGTCCAGGACAGCCCCACTGGTAAGCGGTGTCTGCAGGAGGTGGGCAACATCCCCCACCATGAGGCAGCACTGGCGGGTATCCCAAGTAAGGAGGGACTGGTAGAGGTCTGGAGGTCACTGCCTCAAAAAGTGCCTCCCATGGGCTGGGAATAGGCATTTGGTCAGGTTGAATATCCCTTGAGGACGTTTGATGCTGCTCTAGTTGCTTGTGGCAAAAGAAGTACCTGATGGGCAATTGGAAATACAACTGCTGGAGCCCACTTCTGTTGCCCCTGATGCAGAGCAGCCCTTCAGCTTTGTTCCCATCACCCACTGTGTGCAGCACAGCCCTGTGTTTCACATGCTCCCCTGCCCCAGAGCCTGGCTTCATGCCCTTGGAGACATTTCATGAGGCTACAGGTTCCCACCAAGACAGTTTCCTTCCACAGACCCACATGGGTCTCACCTCAGTCATTGCTCCGCAGGATGTGGGGATCTTTGGTGAGGGTGGCACCAGTCTAGGGCAGGCTGAGACAGAGGGTAAGAACCCTGGGGAGAGATGTGGGAGGGAAGCACTCCCCATTCCTGCCTGTGGGTGCAGATTTCTGCCTTGTTGAGGCAGGGGGTGAGGCTTGGATCCTTCTACAGTGCAGGCTGGTGATCTGCGTGCTGCTGGGGCTGGGGTCCCTGCTGGTGAGGGGGCTGCCCCCATCCTGCCCCCATCCCTGCCAGTGCTACGACACCTCCAAAGTCTTCTGCTCAGACGAGAGGATGCGGGAGATCCCGGCGGGCCTGCCAGGCAGTGCCACACAGCTCTTCTTTGTGGAGACAGGCCTGAGCAGCGTCCGCAGGGGGGCCCTGGGCACCAGTACCACCCTCACCAAGCTGGTCTTCCTCAACAACAACATCCAGGAGCTGGAAGCCGGTGCCTTTCAGTGGCTGCCCAGCCTGACCGAGCTGGAGGTGTCAGGAAACCCCTTGCCAGCAGTCAGCCTTGGGGTGCTGATGGGGTTGACCAACCTCAGCAAGCTCTCCCTGGGTGCCAATGCCATCAGCACCTTGCAGCCAGGGTTCTTCACTGCTGCATGCAGCCTGCAGGACCTGCGCTTGCCAGGGAACAGGATTGTGGCATTGCCCCCTGGCATCTTCCACCCACTCCGGCAGCTCCAGGCCCTGGACCTCTCACAGAATGTCCTGGTTGAGCTGCCAGAGGGGCTGCTGGCCCCACTCACTGCCCTCCGCCTCCTCAAACTCAGCGACAACCTGCTGGTGCGGGTGCCCCCCGGCGCTTTCAGGGCACTTGGCCAGCTGACTGAGCTCCACCTGGATGGTAACCGGCTGGAGGAGCTGCCACCCGGCATCTTCGCCGGGCTGGGGGGGCTGCGGCGGCTGCAGCTGCAGCACAATGCCCTGGGCAGCCTGGCCCCCGACATCTTCACTGGTCTCCTCAACCTCACTGTCCTCAGCCTGGAGGGCAACCGCCTGGCCACCCTGCCTGCCACCCTCTTCACTGGCACACCCGGCCTCCTCCACCTCTCGCTGGGTCGCAACCAGCTGGAGACGCTGCCCCGGGAGCTCTTCTCCAACCTGTCGGCACTGCAGACCCTGGTGCTTTCACACAATGCCATGGACCACCTGCCCACTGAGGTTTTCCAGGGACTGGCAGCACTGACAGCACTACAGCTGAACCACAACAACCTCTCCAGCCTGCCAGCAGGGCTCCTGGCTGGGCTGCCCCTCCTCACTGCCCTGACACTGGACCACAACCGCCTGGCCCGCCTGCCCCTGGGGCTCTTCGATGCCAATGATGAGCTGGTGCGTGTGGGGCTGTCTGACAACCCCTGGGCCTGTGACTGCCGCCTTGCCTATCTCCTGCACTGGCTCCAGGGCTTTGCCGAGCCCCTCATCCATGGGCAACCCTTCTGTGCCAGTCCAACTGCTCTCCAGGGACAGTCCCTGCTGCAGGTCCCCCGGGGGCAGCTGGAGTGCCCGGGAGGACCTGGTGTCCCCCCAGAGGAAGGCTGGGACAGGGATGCTCCAGGACAGTGCACCTACAGCAACCTTGAGGGCACTGTAAGTATGGTCTGTGATGCCACAAGCTGCCAGCAGCTCAGCCTTCGCCTCCCTCCTCCTCCTCCTCCCGAGCAAGTGCAGGGGTTGGGGCCGGCGTACCAGGGTGCCTGGGTGCTGCACTCCCACTGTGGCACACTGCAGGTCAGTGTCCTTGTCACAGCACAGAGCGGGAATGAGGCCACATCGCCAGGTGTCCCTGCTGTGCCCTAGAGCTCAGGCAGGTGCCAGCTTCTGCACTGGAAACCTCTGAGCCAGCCTGGGAAACAGCACCCAGTCTTGCTCTGCTACCCCTGCCTTGGTCACCAGCCATCACTGAGCTCTCCACAACAGCTGGCCTGGTGGTATTTATTCTCCAAGCTATATGTTTCCTGTATATTTCAAATATAATTAAAATGTATATATTATTTCTGTGCAACCAGTTCCTATGGCAGAGAGAGGAATCATTCTGTTCCCCCACGTCTGCCTGTGTACCTGGGAGAGGCAGTGACGGTCGATGTGATCCACTGGGGTCTGGTCTGGGGCTGTGCATGGCATGGCGTGGGTGCAGGTGCACTGTGGTGAGTAGGTGGCTCTTTGGCACGCTCATGGTGTGCTCATCTCTGCCCACTGCAGCCCACCAGCCCCACCTCCTGCCCTGCTTCCCTTGGCACTGCAGACACCCAGCTGCAGCCTGGCAATAACTCTCAGGGCGTGTTTTTGGGATGTCCAAGGGAAGCACGGGTGAGTGCTACTGACTACCCAGCAAGGGGCATGGGCTGCCTGGCTGCAGGGTGAGCTCCAGCCCAGGTATCCACTGGCTGGTCCCCCCATACCCTGCCAGGGCTTGGTTTGCATCCCTGCAGCCTGGAGCTGGAATGCAGGAAATTCCACCTGAACAGAAGGAAGAACTTTACTGAGGGGTGACTGAACAGGTTGCCCAGCAAGGCTGTAGAGTCTCCTTCTCTGAAGATACTCAAAAGCCACCTGAACAGAGCCTTGAGCAATGCACCCCAGGGAGCCCTACTTCAGCGGGGAGGTTGGATTAGATGACTTTCAGTG